CCTCCTCGCTATCGGAAGCGATCCTCTGGACAGGCTTCTTCTTACGCGCAATAGAAACGCCGCTGTCGTCCATCGAAGCATCGCGTGCGGCGTTGGAACCATCTGTCATCAGGGACTCCATCATATTTTCACCAGCCTGGAGGCTCTTGAGGCTTCGGTTCCCTCCTACCCCGGAATGAGCCGCAGAGCTGCAGCGGCTGTCTAGCCTCAGCTGAAATCCGGTGTTTTCTGTGTCTTCGAGCATCATTTCTTGGTCTGAAACATCTTGCGGCTGGTCCTCCGAATCTTCTAAAACAAGGTTGAAATCGGCCTGGTACGGGGAAGGGAAAACTAAAGACTCCTCCCTCGCCAGGATTTCACTCCTTGCCGACTTCCGTCTTGCTCGATGCTCAGACGTTTCACTGGCCGGTAATATTAACGCGGCGTTCGCATCTCGCTCACCAGCTTGACTGGCCTCTCTGCGTGGACTCCCGAGAACCTCGAGCGACATTTCCATCTTCGCTTGGGCTTCATGAACATCATCATCATCATCATAAATATATTCTACCGACTGCTGCGGAGGTCCCACAAAGACATCGTTAAAGCTGTCGTCTGTGCCGGCAAACGGCTCACGGGAGGTCATTTTGGATCCAGAACTGTCACCCTCCTCGTTGGATACAAAGCAAGACAGAGAAGTGGTCAGGTTGTGCCTTTGCTCACCTTCCTGTATGCTGGCCTGCCTGGTTTCTTCCGTCTTGGAGAGAGAGACAGCCATAGGGGATACATCCAGAACTGGGCTTTCGTCAGCCACATCCTCGATAACCAGACTCGTCATTTTAAAGCTGACACTGGGCAAGTCTTCTTCATCGTCAGTTTCCACAACGATGACGTCACCGCCGTTTGGCGGTTGCGCAGGTGCAGGCGAGGGAGCAGAATAAGCTGGAGGCGGCTTTGGCGATTTTTTCCTGGGCTGAACGGACGACGGGTCTGTCGCTCTCAGCCACGCTCCTTCTGTCGTGTCCCTGATGTTGGCTGCCAGCTGGTCTTTCATTTGCGATTCGAGCTGCACCAGTTCTTGGGCTTTCTGTACCCTGTGCTCGATGTACCGATGAGCCTCTTCATCCTCCGCCTCGTCCTCATAGCCCGTTTCCCGGGTGTACATCAAGTCGTGGTCTGAAAGGCCAAAGATCTCCAGCGAGTAGAGGTAGGCGATGTGCTCGTCGAGTTGGACGTCTGTCTTCCTTTGAGTCCCGTGCAAGGACTGCAGCTGGAGTTGGGTCGTGGAGCTCCGCGTGTCTCCCAACGTGAAAAGCTCTCTCAGCTCCTGCTTGGTGAAATACCTGTAGGGGTTCTTCTTGTCTCCCGTGGTTTGCCTTATGAGCGAGTCCTTGAAGACTTGCCGCCGGTAGATTTTCTCTTCCACCGTCCCGCAGGTTATTAGCCGGTAGATCACGACGTTCTCTTTCTGCCCGATGCGGTAAGCTCGGTCCACGGCTTGCGCGTCGGTAGCTGGGTTCCAGCTGGGGTCAAAAATCACCACCCGGGTAGCTGCGGTTAACGTCAGGCCAACTCCACCGACTTGGGTCGTCAGCAAAAAGACAGAGTAGTCCTTGTCGTTCTGGAAGGCATCGATCCTCTTCTCTCGTTCCGATAGATGAGTCACCGTCCCGTCGATGCGCATGAGTTTGAAGCTCCTGTGAGTTAAGATGCGCTCTATGATGTCCAGCATCTTCCTCGACTGGGAAAACACCAGGGTTCGGTGCCCTTCTTCCTGCAGCTGTTCCAGCAGAGCGATGAGGAACCGGACCTTCCCGGACTCTTTGATAAGAATCTCATCAGAAATGCGCTCAATGTCCATCTTCTCGCCCCAGAGCTCATCGGCTTCATTCTCACCGCCTTCCTCCCTCTCGGAGTACTCAGATGTCGCCAGGCCAAGCTGGCTACATGCCCGGGCAGACAGCAGCCTGGGGTGGTCACAGAGCTTCTTCAGGACGTTCAGCTCAGCCAAGGGGGACCGTGTGGTCATCAGCAACTCCTTGATATGATCCAAGGACAGAAAGTTCCTGTATATTTCTTCCTGTATGGGGGATACATACACCCACACAATGAAGTCGTTTTTTCTGGGAAGAGAAGGCATCTCAGGCGCTGGGGCCTTGCGTGGATCCTCCGGAAGGTTGTTCTGGGGTCCAGATTTGAGCTTCTTCTGGATGTCATCTTTGCTCCGCCTTAGGAAGTAGGGCTTGATGATGGACATCAAGTTCTCCGACATCTTCAGCCCCAGGGCCTTCTCTCCTGGGGTGGCGTCCTTCTCCCGAGCTTTCGTGATGGGGTTTTCGTACTCCATCCGGAAGGTTTTCATTGTGCCGAGAAGCGAGCCCTGGCAAGCGAAGTCGAAGAGAGCCCACAGTTCCTGCAGGTTGTTCTGCACCGGCGTCCCCGTGAGGAGGATGCGATTCCGGGAAGGGATGGCATGAACGGATTTCGTGGTCTTGGCAGAAGGCGTCTTAATTTTATGGGCCTCGTCCAGAATCACATAGTCCCAGACAAACTCCCTCCCGTCAGAGCTAGCGAGCTGCTGCCAGTTGTTGAGGATCATCTGGTAGGTGGTGATCAAGACCCCGTTCCTCTTTTGGATTCGCTCCAGGTTCCTCTGGCGCTCCGCCTTGCTGGTCCCGTGGAAGACCTTCACTCGCAGGCCGGGCGTCCAGCTGGCAAACTCTCTGGCCCAGTTGCTAACCAGGGTGGTCGGCATAACGAGCAACACGGAGCGGATGAGTTCACTGTCGAACATGCCGGAGAGGAAAGCGATGATCTGAATCGTCTTCCCCAAGCCCATGTCGTCTGCCAGGATGCCACCCTTACGGCCGTCCCGATACAAGCCGTACAGGAAGGCGACCCCTTCCCTCTGGTGGTCAAAGAGCTTATCGTACATCTCTTCGTAGAGCATCAGCCCGCTCTGATACACGTTTACAAAGCCGTCGTCCTCCTGATTCAGGGCTAGCGACGCCAAGGCCTCCTCGAGCTTTTGAACTTTCGTCATCAGCTTTTCACTGGGATGGATTTCGTGGGCTTCTCTGAAGAGCCGGATGGATTCTTCCAGATTCCCATCTCGGGCCTCCTGCTTCGCTTGGGACACACATCTGTAAAACACCACAAAACATAAGAACATAAGAAGAGCCCTGCTGGGTCAAACTAGCATCCCATCTAGTCCAGCATCGTGTCTCACAAAGTGGCCAACCAGTTCCACCACAGGGCCCAAAACAGAGGCCAAGGCCTACATAAGAACATCAGAAGAGCCCTGCTGGATCAGATCAATGGTCCATCTAGTCCAGCATCCTGTCTCATACAGTGGCCAACCAGTTCCTCTGGAGGGCCAAGAACAGTGCATGAAGGCCGAGGCCTTCCCTGATGTTGCCTCCTGGCTCTGGGATTCAGAGGCTGACTGCCTCTGAATGTGGAGGTTCCCTTTAGTCACCACGACTAGTAGCCAGCCACTGATAGACCTATTCTCCATGAATCTATCTAATCCTCTTTTAAAGCTATCTATGCCTGTGGCCATCACGACATCCTCTACAGAGTTTGCCCAGTGAGACACAAGACAAGCCCAAGGCCAGAATAGATAGACATGCCAAGGTGCTTTCAGTTTCCATGCTTTCAATCACAAAACACACACCAATTATGGTCAATACGGATACTCATTTTTGAAAATAAAAGGACAAGTCATTGCAGACAGACTGAGCAACCAAAGGATCACTCCATAAAGGACACTGATAGGAAGAGCTAGGTACAGAGAAAGCATAATGCTTGATAACGAACAAGCATTTTATTTAGCCAAGAATTTACGCTGTATTCAAAGTACTTTTAACTCACAAATGATAATGGCCAGCTAGGAATTGAGAAATTAAGGCCTACATTTCTGCATTGGGGTGGGGAGGGATCATCAACACACAAATGGGGCGGGAAGAGAATCATTTACACACAGAATGGAATTTTCAGGTTTTATTACCAAAGGGGGTGGGGTGGAAATATGGGTGGAAATGGAGGGGGGGGGGACACGACTCACTCCGAGTCACTCTAAGAGCTGAGTCAAAGGAAGATCATCGTACTTGGGAATATGCAAGTGGGAGAGCAGGATGGTAAAGGGATGCAGGATTAACCAAATTTTAAAAGAGTAGTTTAAATGGTGGTGCCTCCACAGTTACAGGGCAGTCCTGTTAGGCTGACCAGGGATTACCTATAGATTAAAACAAAATGACAGAGAATGTTTACATGATAGTTTAAGAATTACTAACATCTGGACCACTCTTTGGTATAGTGTTTTCCTGTTTTTTTTTTTTTTTACATTATTTTTAAGCATTTAAAAACTTTTATAATATATCCCCCCAAGAAGAAGAAAAAATACAGCATTTACATATCAGAGAAGGGGAGAAAAAGGAGAATCTTACCTACATCTCTCTAAACTCCAGAAAGATTTTTAAAAGGTCTGGACAACAATTAAAAATAAAAATGGGTAACTTTAGAAAGAGATTTGGATTTTTCCTTATTTTTAAACCGGTGTTTCCTCTGCAGAGGAAAGGCAGGGTTATAAATATATTAAAATAAACGAGCAGTTGCACAGTGCCTTTCTCAGGGCCAATTCAGAATTGTGAACTAAGCAAAATAACAAGACTCGCCAATCCTACCAAACCATAACATGGAAGAAAGAGGAAGGGGAGAAACATAGAATGTGCATGAGAAGCCCATCATTCAAGTGGTTATTCCCCCAGGGCCGGATTAAGGCCAACAGATGCCCTAAACACAGCCCAACAAGCCATTCCCTTGCTTAACTGATAAGACCCAGTAAATGCTGAATGGGAAATAAGAAAACTTTTTTTTAACAATGCAGATTAAAGTCGAACACTGCAGATAAGGACAATTACAAAAAATCGACTAAAGTTGAGTGCTGAAGTGAAAGAGTTAAGGGCATGACAGCTGGGGGGACTCTGTGGTGCCCCCCCCTCCTTGGTGTCCTAAGAAGCTGTTCATTTTGCTGAACGGTTAATCCGGGGCTGCATTTCCCACACACACACAGTTTCCTCTGCCTTTCACAGGGCCAATTCAGAACTGTGAACTAAGCAAAATAACAAGACTCGCAAATCCTACCAAACCATAACATGGAAGAAAGAGGAAGGGGAGAAACATAGAATGGGCATGAGAAGCAGCACCCCATCATTGGCTTCTTCAGTCTTCAACATGAAAACCCGGCCATTCAAGTGGCCATTCCCCCAGGGCCGGATTAAGGCCAATTGATGCCCTAAACACAGCCCAAGAAGCCATTTCCTTGCTTAACTGATAAGATCCAGTAAGTGCTGAATGGGAAATAAGAAAACTTTTTTTAACAATGCAGATTAAAGTCAAACACTGCAGATAAGGACAATTACAAAAAAATCGACTGAAGTTGAGTGCTGAAGTGAAAGAGTTAAGGGCATGACAGTTGGGGGGGGGCCTCTGTGGTGTCCCCCCTTTCTTTAGTGTCCTAAGAAGCTGCTCATTTTGCTGAACGGTTAATCCAGGGCTGCATTTCCCCCCCACACCTTTGCACACACCTTTTTGTATATTTTTGCTCATGTCCAGCCTGAAGAAGAGAAGAAGAGATTGGATTTATACCCCGCCCTTCACTCGGAGTCTCAGAGCAGCTTACAAACTCCTTTCCCTTCCCCTCCCCACAACAGGCACCCTGTGAGGTGGGTGGGGCTGAGAGAGCTCTGACACAAACTGCTCTTTTTCAAGGACAGCTCTTGTCAGAACTATGGCTTTCCCAAGGTCATCCAGCAGCTGCAAGTGGAGGAGTGGGGAATCAAACCCAGTTCTCCCAGATTAGAGTCCGCACACTTAACCACTACACCAAACTGGCATCAAACTGAAAAGGGATGCTGATGAATTCTAAACCTTGGTATTATACTAGTATTTGGATGGTCGCAGCGATATGATTGGGCTGCGGTGGCTCAGAGGTTAAGACGCTGAGCTGCAGACCAAAAGGTCTGTAGTCCGGCAGTTCGAGGCTGAAGTGAAAGAGTTAAGGGCATGACAGTTGGGGGGGGGCCTCTGTGGTGTCCCCCCTTTCTTTAGTGTCCTAAGAAGCTGCTCATTTTGCTGAACGGTTAATCCAGGGCTGCATTTCCCCCCCACACCTTTGCACACACCTTTTTGTATATTTTTGCTCATGTCCAGCCTGAAGAAGAGAAGAAGAGATTGGATTTATACCCCGCCCTTCACTCGGAGGTCATGCCGGCCACATGACCACGGAAACGTCTTCGGACAGCGCTGGCTCTTTGGCTTGGAAACAGAGATGAGCACCACCCCCTAGAGCCGGACTCGACTGGCTTTCGAGCAAGGGAAACCTTTACCTTTACTAGCCATATGACACCTTTCTTTTCTTTTTTTTACAAATACACAGAAGACAAATAGAGGGAATGAGGCTCTGCTACAGGGTAGCAGAACCTCTACTGCATGGCAGACCCCCCCAAAATCCAGACCTCCCCCCAAAATGCACCAATCTATTTACAGCAGCAGTGGCCTGCTTCTGTCTTTTCTAAGAGCTAAACGCTGCACTTCATTGTCACACAAACATTCCAGCCCAGTCCCGCAGCCAAGGATTGGCTCAGTGGTGGAGCATCTGCTTGTCATGCAGAAGGTCCCAGGTTCAATCCCCAGCATCTCCAGTAAGGATCAGGTTCTACGTGATGTCCTTTACTAGCCATATGACACCTTTCTTTTATTTTTTTACAAATACACTGATAGAAGACAGGTAGAGGGAATGAGGCACTGCTCCAGGGTAGCAGAACCTCTACTGCATGGCAGACCCCCGCAAAATCCAGACCTCCCCCCAAAATGCACCAATCTATTTACAGCAGCAGTAGCCTGCTTCTGTCTTTTCTAAGAGCTAAACGCTGCACTTCAGTGTCACACAAACATTCCAGCCCAGTCCCGCAGCCAAGGATTGGCTCAGTGGTGGAGCATCTGCTTGTCATGCAGAAGGTCCCAGGTTCAATCCCCAGCATCTCCAGTAAGGATCAGGTTCTACGTGATGTGAAGGACCTCCACCTGAGACCCAGGAGAGCCACTGCCAGTCTGAGTAGTCAGTGCTGACTTCAATGGACCAGTGATCTGATCCAGCATAAGGCAGCTTCACGTTTTCACCTCCACCAGTCCTGGGACCTATTTCCTCAATGCCATTAAGACCCGTTGAAAGGACTACTCACAGTCTTTTATGACACCTTACCGACCATTTTGCCAGGAAAACCCCGGCCGCAGCAATCAGAACACAGATCAATTCCCCTGGAGAAAATGTCTCCTTTGGAGAATGTACTCTTGGGCACTGTACCCCCCACCAAAGTCCCTCTCCCCCCTAACCCCCGCCCTCCCCAGTCTCCACCCTAGGCTTGCCAGCCTAGTAGTCAGTGCTGACTTCAATGGACCAGTGATCTGATCCAGCATAAGGCAGCTTCACGTTTTCACCTCCACCAGTCCTGGGACCTATTTCCTCAATGCCATTAAGACCCGTTGAAAGGACTACTCACAGTCTTTTATGACACCTTACCGACCATTTTGCCAGGAAAACCCCGGCCGCAGCAATCAGAACACAGATCAATTCCCCTGGAGAAAATGTCTCCTTTGGAGAATGTACTCTTGTGGCACTGTACCCCCCACCAAAGTCCCTCTCCCCCCTAACCCCCGCCCTCCCCAGTCTCCACCCTAGGCTTGCCAGCCTCCAGGTGGGGCCTGGAGATCTCCCGCTTTTACACCTGATCTCCAGCGGACAGAGATCAGTTCCACTGGAGAAAATGGAGAAGGGTGGACTCTGGGGCCTTGCACCATGCTGAGGCCCCTCACCTGGATCCACCCCCCAAAGTCTCCAGGTATTTCCCAACCCAGCCGTGGCAACACACGCCCGGCTCAGAAGCCTCCCGACTCCGTCAAACCAGAACTAGCAGGAACTCCGGAGAGGCCGAAAGACTCTCTGCCGGGGCGGGCGGGGGAAACGCTCTTTTCAGACGCGCCCCGGCTCAGAATGAAACCGGACCCCGCACACTTCGACACACACATCCCTCCTCCCCGCTTTTTACCTCCGGTACCGCTCCGCCTGCTCGGGGCTGACCAGCCCTTCCAGTTCAGCCATGACGCCCCGAGCCCCGTTTGAAAGGGGACGAACGGGAACTCCGGCCGCTCTCTCGGTTAGCATTCAAACCGGCGCGCCCGCGCGTCCTCTCCGGCAGCCTATCCCTTCGCGACTCGCAAATGAGTCCCCGGGCCGCTAGCCAATAGGCTTGCCGGGAAGGCCGTCATTCAGGAAAAAGGAGGCCCCCATTGATTTTAATTCGTTCATTCACGTCCGGGACCGCTCGGCGGCCAGTGACGCGTCAGTTGGGTTCCTGGGCATGCGCTTTGCTCGCCTCCCCTGTTACGTTCCACTCAACGCCGCCGCGAGCTAGGTGGTCCTGCCGTCGCGTACATGTGGAGCTTCCCTAAGCCGTGCATTTATTGAGCTGCAAAATCCAGAACAGCCTGTGTGCTGCCCCCGTCCCCAACCTGTCCAGAGTTCATTGTTGGTCTGAACTCCGGGGCGTTAGGGTTCGAATCGGCACCCGAACAGCCGATGCTGGAACAAGGGTCAACACAGGGTTTGCAAATGTCAGTGGAGGGGCTGCACTGCAGAAATGATCCGGACCCCAAGAGGTGCAGGCGCAGATGCCACGTCACTGTGGTTGTTGGCACTGGCAGTGCTACCAGCGCACCGGGTAGCTGCACTGGTACAGGAGCTTGAGTCGCAGAAGTGGCTTGTGCGTGCCCTGACACAGCAGGCTGGAGTGCTGGAAGGGTTCTTTTTGTAGTAGGTACTCATTTGCATATTAAGCGACACCCCCCCTAATGTAGCCAATCCTCCAAGAGCTTACAGTAGCTCCTGTAAGAAGAGCTCTGTAAGCTCTTGGAGGATTGGCTACATTAGGGGTGTGTGGCCTAATATGCAAAGGAGTTCCTGCTACAAAAAGAGCCCTGCCAGGCGGCGGGCCCGGGGCATCACCTCTGACTGGAAGTCGAAGTTGTTGTGTGTGCCCAGCGTGATGGCACTGTATTGGACAAAATTCTTTGGGCAGTGTCTTTTTTTTTCTTCCAAAAATTTTATTCAGGATATAAACATTTACAGCCAACATTAAATTTTCTACATTTGTCCCCGTTATACCCTACCCACCTTCCTTTCCCCCTCCCTAGTATATGGCTTCCCACAGTGCTTCGACCTCCTGCATATTCACTTCTTTTTTATAATATATCGATTTCCTTTTTATAGTTCACTAGGTAACTGTTATTTCACTATAGCAATTAATTTTTTACTTATCTCCAGAAAATTCTATGCTTAGTAATTATTAAGACAAAATAAATTGTCTTTTACTTCCCGATACTTTTCTAAGTATTCTTTTAAATCCTTCCAGTCATTATAAAAATCTTCTGCTTCCATATTATTCAACTTTCTTGTCAGTTTATCCATTTCACCTGGGAATAATAGTTTTTTAATCCAATCCTCAATCTTCGGGACTTCTTCCTGTTTCCAACTTTGAGCATAGGTCATTCTGGCTGTTGTTATCATGTACCACATCAAAGTTCTTTTTGCCACATTGATCTCTTCCATTTTTAGTCCCAAAAGTAATATTTCTGGCTCCTTTTTAAATGTACATTTAACCATTTTTTCCATTTCTAAATGTATTTGACTCCAAAAATTTTTTGCTTTTTCACAAGTCCACCACATATGATAAAAAGAGCCCTCCACTTTTTTACACTTCCAACATTTGTTTGACATGTTAACATTCATATTAGCAATCTTTTTCGGTGTCATATACCACCTATACATCATCTTATAACAATTTTCTTTAAAATTATTACACGTTGATATTTTCAATGCATTTTTCCATAAGTACTCCCAAGATTCTATTGTTACTTCCATATTCATATTTACTGCCCATTTTATCATCTGTTCTTTGACCGTTTCATCTTCAGTATACCATTTTAACAATATTTTATACATTTTTGAGATAACATTTTTTTCCACCCTCAAACCATACAACCTCAATCTCATTATTTTATTATCTAAAACCAATGATTTTTTTTATCTCTTTTAAATAATTCATTTATTTGTCTATATTCCAACCAACCATATTTAAACGCCGTTTCTTCTTCCATTTTCAGTACATATGTATTTCTCTTTGGGCAGTGTCTTGACCTCGAAAGCGCTGAGCTCAGTTGGAGCTAGCGCCAGACATGAACAGCCTGTATCGGACCTTTTACTTCCTTCCTGAGACGTATGGCTATAGGCTTCGGAGCCCGTCCCCTAGGTAGAGATGTAAAATTTCCGGAAATTTTGAAGCTCGGAAAAAACCCCGTTTTTCCCCCAGTTTTTTTTTTGGGGGGGAAAAGGACATTTTTGGAAAAATTGAAAAAAATGCTACATTAGCACTTCTTTTATCTTTTCTAGATTGAAAGTTACTTTAGGAACATAAAATATGACTATGGACATTTTTACTTGGCATGAAATTATCACAACTAGCATATTAAAAATATAGTGTATCCAAACAGTTATTACAAACAGAATACCCACCCACGTGCAAAAACAAAACTGAAACCTTTTTCTTTTCTCGTGACAATAGCACCTCCTAAAGGAAGAAATGCATCTTGTTCTTGCATTGGAGAGTTCAGTTTGTAACCTAGGACTTGCTTGTCCTCAGTGCACAGAAATTACATTAATCTGATACCATATATATATATATTAGAAATGATTTGGAAAATATTTGAACACCCTGTCTTAAAATATTTTATCCATCATGTTAAAATAAAACGTTCCATAATCAATTTCTTTTCTTTTCTTTTTTCAATTTTTCCAATTTTTCGGAAAAAAAAACAAAAAAGGCTTCAGGAAAAAACCCGTTTTTTTCCGAATTTTTCTGGGTTTTTTCCGGGCCTTCACATCTCTACCCCTAGGCAGCCTACATAAATTGCAATGTACCCGTCACTCAAGCTCTAAAGGGAGAACTTGTATGGGCAAAGTCCCTGGTTTGAGCCGTAGCATTCCCAGTTAAAGCGTCACAGTACCAGGAAAGTTTTCTCTGTGTTTGGATTCCTAGAGCTGCTGCCAATTAGAGCAAAGCGGGTGCTGCTCCGCGGAGCTGACGACCGTTCCTTAAACTGTTAGAACTATTCCAAATGAGGCGACATGCTTAAATCCATAGGTCTATTGCAGCGAAACAAAACAGAAGTCCAGTAGCACTTTGGAGACTAGAATTTATCCCAGTATAAAATTTAGTGGAACAATGCCTGCTTCTAAAGATGCGATCAGAGATGCTTCATTCATGTATTTAATATTATAATGAATACTAATTATATTATGCATGTTTTGAATTGATTATTGTAATATGTTTACAATTGTAAATCTGCATTAAGTGCAGATACATACATGTTGGTACCCGCCCTGAGCCTACAATGTGCGGAGGGCAGGATATAAGTCTAATGAAATAAAATAAAGAAATAAATATTCTGTTGTGTCTGAAGAAGGGAGCCTGGCCTTGTGAAAACTCATAATGGCATACTTGTTGTTAGCGTTTAAGTTGCCACTGGATTTCCAACGTGGTTAACCCGGTGCTGAACATTTATGTATTCACTTCATTCGTGCCCCACTATTGTTCCCCATGGGAACCCAAAGTGACTTACAGCATCCTCCCTTTCTCCGTTTTATCCTCTCAATAACCCTTGTGAGGTGGATTAGGCTGAGTGGGTGTAACTGGCCCCATGTCCCTCAGCTAGCTTCCACGGCAGAGTGGGGATTCGAACCTGAGCCTCCTACTTTGACCCTTTGGAATAGATTCCTTTCAACAGACATTCTCGTGATGCATTTTTTGAGACTGGCTGTGCCAAAGGATGCGTGTAAGAGAGTAGTCTGTTTAGAAGGCATACTAATGGATAATTAACATGTTACGAGAGCCAGTTTGGTGTAGTGGTGAAGTGCGCGGACTCTAAACTGGGAGAACCAGGTTTGATTCCCCACTCCTCCACTTGCACCTGGCTGGATGACCTTGGGCAATCCGTAGTTCTGATAAGAGCTGTTCTTGAAAAAAGAGCAGTTTCTGTCAAGAGCTCTCTCAGCCCCATCTACCTCACAGCCTGGGTGTCTGTTGTGGGGAGGGGATGGGAAAGAAGTTTGTAAGCTGATCTGAGACTCCCTTGGGTAGTGAAAGGCGCGGTATAAATCCAATCTCTTCTTCTTCTTCTTCTTTATTTCAATACCGCCTTCCTACAAATGAACTTGATGTGTTTACAATGACTGGCACTCATGCAAATCCCCCCCCCCCCCAGGTTTCCCACTATCCCCTTTCTACATTTTTTTAGTGTGAGCTAGCTCACAGTTTTTAAGCCTCCGGCTCACACCTTTTTTTCTTAGCTCAGAAAGGATGGGCTCCAGAGCAAGCTAATTTATCCAGTAGCCAAATCGCTCACTCACAACTTTAATGCCAGTAGCCCACAAAGTAGAATTTTTGCTCGCAAGACTCCACAGCTTAGAGGGAGCAGTCCCCATATTACAGTTGGTGTGTGTGTGTGTTCTCTTTCAGGGAGGGGTGGGGTTGCCAACTCTGGGCTCAGAAATTCTTGGGAAATTTGGGGGTAGAGCCTGGGGAGAGGAGCTCGGCAGGGCTGTGATACCATGGAGCCCATCCTCTGGCGCTGCCAGTTCCTCCAGGGGAAACTAATCTTTGCAGTCTAGAGAGTAATTGTGAGCAATCTGATGGCAACGGGGGTGGGGTGGGGGGTGGCGGCTCAGTGGTAGAACATTTGTATACATTAATTCCTAGGCTGGAGCCCTGCTGTTGCCAGTAGCCAGTTCAAAGGACAAGGTAGCAGATGATGTTGAAAGAGCTGCTGTCAGAGTAGGCAATACCGGCTTTGACAGAGCAGGGGTCCGGCTAGGTGTAAGGCTGTTTTACATGAACCTGAGAAAGAAGGGTCCAGGTGGGTAGCCCTGTTGGTCTGAAGCAACAAAACAGAGTTTGAGTCCAGTGGCACCTTGAAGACCAGCAAAGTTTAATTCTGGGTATAAGCTTTCCTGTGCATGCACACTTCAATGTATCTGAAGAAGTGTGCATGCATATTATACCCAGAATTATATTTTGTTGGTCTTCAAGGTGCCACTGGACTCAAACTTTGTTCTGAGAAAGAATGGCTTGCCTAAGGCCACCAAGAGAAGCTGGTGGCCGAGAAGACATTCGAACCCAAGACCTCCACCATCGCAGCTCAGATATCCTCTTTTCGCGAAGCCAGCGGGCCGCTTTTCGAAACAACACCGTGCAGTTACCGCTGGCGTCCTGCAGGGGCAGCATTCTAAATAAACAACCAGCCGAGGGAGAAGGGAGCGGAAGGAGAATTGTGCGCCTGCGCTTTTGTGTACCTTTCCGCTCGCCTCGAAAGCTGCGCTGTGATTGGGAGCCCGCAACGGCGCCTGGCGCATGCGCCCTGGGGTCGCCTTCAGACATGCCTCCTCAGCCCTTCCCACGGCCGGAGTTATCCGTTGCTGAGCTCCGCCTTCTGCGCGTGACAGGATGGAGGGGCGGAGGAGGAAGAGACAGAGGAAGCAGGAAGTGAGGGCCAAAAAACAAGACCGGAGTCTAAGCGGCTGCTGCCCCGAGCTTAAGAGCCTCCGTCGCCGGGCCTGAGAGGTGCCTCGATAGCCGCCGCCATGTCAGCGATGGAGAGTATCCTTTCGGGGGTGGGAGAGACTGAGGAATGCTCCTGATTGGGGGGCTGTGGAGCTCGAGGGCGCAGAAGCCCCGCCCCTCACCCTTGGATGACAGGGAGGGGCATGGCTTACCTGTTGGAACCCCCGGCGCTAGGGGGAGCTCTTGATTGGTGGGTGCTGAACGTGTGGGCGTGGTCTCGGAGTAGGCCCTTCCCCTTTTGCTGTGGGTGGGAGTCATGACTGAGGGAGGGTCCTCACCTGTTGGATTGTGAGTGGCAGCAGAAGTTGGAGTCTGTGGGCCTTCCTTGGGGTTTTGATTACTGGAAGTGCCTCCCCCCCAAGTCTTGTGTCTCCTCAGAGCCTTAACAGGATTAAAGGAACTGAGCAAGAGTCCAGGTGCACCTTAAAGTCTAACAAAATCTATGGCAGGGTATGAGGTTTCGCAAGTGACTGCTCACTTCTTCAGATACAGCTAGAATGGGAGTCCCTCTGTCCTGTTTATTGGAAAGCGGGGAGATTTCAGATGCCGAATGACATTAGCAGGCAAATGACAATAGCAGATGAATGACAATAGCAGGGGGGGGGGTAAAAGGTGTGGAGAAATCAGCATTGGAAATGAGGCAGGAACCCTAGGCCTTGATTCAGTCCAGATGGATGCATTGTCTTGAGCTTCATTATCAATTGCAATGCAGCGGTCTGTCTTTCTGATTTCCCTTTGTAAGAGAACTGCTGCTTACTGATGTAGCCAAGAGCTGGGATCCAGGAAGTCCCTGGTTCAAATGTTACCTCCACCGAGAACTTACTAGGTGCCCTTTTGCTAGGTATTCAGCTCTCAAGTGTGAGCCCTCCCCCCAACATGTGCAGTGTTGGGGGGGGGGTGTGTGTGGTGTCAGTGCTGGCCTAGCTCGGGTATCTGCTCTAAGGATTAAAGCAAGACAATAGGTCTGGCTTGGACACGCAAAACATCGTATAAGTGCCAAGTGTTGTAGTGGCATGGTGTTTTCTGGACTAGAATCCATTTTGTAAGGGGCTTGAAGTGTTACTTCAGTTGGTGTGGGTATCTAGAGAGAAAAGTTGTAAATGTGGTATGTGAAAAATCCCAATCTTTTATGTGTGTACATGTAAGATAATCACTGAGAAACTGCCTTAATACTTGGCAATAGTGCAGTCTTTGTATCTCTTGCATCTCTCTCTTTGCATAACTGTTAACGGAGGGGAACATTTAATGGGATTGATGGTGTGGCTCTAAACTGTGAAGGCTTATAACTCCTGAAGTTGCTGCTAGATTATTAGTGTTACTTCAAAGAACACCAAATATACCTAGAGAAAGCAGGGATCCCTTTGGAAATTCCTCATTTTCCCACAGCCTCCCACGTCAGAACTGAAGCTCTTCTCTCTAAAACTAAACAGTGCATCCTGTGTAGAGTTACTCTGATCAAAACCCATTGAAATCAGGGGGTTCAAACTGGAGTAATTCTGCATAGGATTGCCCAGTAACCCAGAACTGGACTAGATACCAAGAGGGCTCAGTCTCTTCCTAATGTCTATCACTTTGCTTTGCCTGTGGCTGATTTCAGTGACACATCATGATATCATCTCCCTTTTTAATCATTTCTTGCAGTGGATGTAGTTTTCCTTCTGGCCCTTTGAAATCTTGTGCTGTCAAGGAAGATAGAGGTTTCTCACCCCTTCCTTCTGTTTCATTTGTTGATCATACTGTTTCTGCTGTTTCATTGAAAGACTACAGGGCAAGCTGACTTAAGAGCTCTTTACTCTAGTGCTGTTCCTGTTAAGTAGGGAGTGTCCTGAATTTTACAACAGTTTCCAGGCTGGTTTGTTTTGTTCTCAGCCTGCTTTTGCGTGTTGAAAGTGATGCGTCTCTGGTGAGTGAATTCTGAGAGAACAAGTAAATATTCTTAAGCTTTGTATCCTATTGGGGAAAAGACAGCTGGTAGTTTTAGTGCAGCATGGACTTATTCCAATCAAGGTGATTTGAGCTGGAAGGAGGGAAAGGGCAGTTTAAAATAAAAAGGACCCATTTATTATTTAGCTATTTCCTACATATGAACTGTACAAATGTATCCATTCAAGACTGAATTAAATCGTTATGTATAGCCACAGGAGCTATACTCTATGTCCCTTAAATATTTACCCATATGGCTGTATATAATTTTTCAAAATAATAAAGTACACTGATTGTTTTTGGATAACAATTTTCATGACCTTATATGGGGATCTCTTTTATAACTCGCAGCCGAGATAGGTCTTTTTGACATGTTCTAGTTGGAATTGACAACAGAAACTGTTTCTCTCCAGCAATGCTCCCTCTAAGCTGTGGAGTCTTGAGAGCAAAAACTCCACTTTGTGAGCTACTGGCATTAAAGTTGCGAGTGAGCAATTTGGCTATGGCATCAATTAGTTTGCTCTGGAGCCATCCTTCCCGAGCGAAGACAAAAATGTGTGAGCCGGAGGCAAGACTGTGAGCTAGCTCACACTAACTCAGCTTAGAGGGAACACTGCTCTCCAGTGTTCTTTCTGCTTTTGATGTGATTCATGCATGCAGGAAAATGAGGTGGTAGAATGGACAGTGTCACTGCAGGCTGCACATGAAGGATGCCATTTTGGAGTACTCATCTGTGTTGGAAACTCCCTGCAAATAGAAAACAGCTCAGATAGCAAAGGGTGGGCTAGAACCTTTCTCTCTGCTGTGCTAGTTTTCTTCTTGGAGGGAATTCTAATGCAGAAGAGCATTCGTTCATAGCTGGAATTCAGGACTAAGTCTGCCCCTTCTCTTTTGTCATAGAACTTCCCAGACTTGCCCCACTCTGCAGGAGTACGTACTCTCAACCAGAACCAAAAGCTGGTGGTGGTTACTGGTTAAATTGCTGTCATCCAAGGCTTGGTAACCTTTCAGGTACACCTTCCTTGAAGCTGAGGTGACATGGAAGTTTTGACTGATGTGAAGGTGTGGCCTTCCTCCTTGAGCATTCAGTGAGGTGGGAGTGTTTTTCAGGTAGAGCCTGAATGCAAATCACCATTCTGCTCTCAAACCCATACACAGTGTCATTGGGCTAGTTGCTCTAGGCTAGCCTACTATGCAGGGATGCTTTGAGGCTAAAATGGAGTACAGGAGCATATACCCTGAGCCCCTTGGACAAAGGGTGGGGTGGCCCTCAGTTCTGCAGCAGTTGCCAGTGAGAACTAGCATCATACCTGGGCCTTGAAGCTGATTTTGAAGCAACTAGTATGTTAACATAGGAACATAAGAGAAGCCAATGTTGGATCAGGCCAATGGCCCATCTAGTCCAACACTCTGTCACACAGTGGCCAAAAACACCAGATGCCATCAGGAGGTCCATCAGTGGGGCCAGGACACTAGGAGCCCTCCCACTGTTGCCCCCCCCAAAGCAGCAAGAATACAGAGCATCTCCTGCCCCAGCCTGTGAGTTCCTATCTATACCTTGTGACTAATAGCCACTGATGGGCTTCTGCTCCATAAGTACTCCCGGCGGGAGAGTACTTAATGAGCGGGAGAGTCACAGGGTTTCCTGAGAGCAGGAAGATTCACACCAAAAGTGAACCGCAAGCCCTCCCCATCTCACAAGGCCAGACTGATAACAGCATCTAGCTCCCACGGTCTCCCAGGCATGTTTACTGCAAGCTGCTGAGCTGCAAGCAAGCGGGAACAGGGAAGGGCAGAATACACAAAATGGCAGCCAGCTGACAAGTTCCCTCTTGAAGCTGTCTATGCTTGTAGCCGCCACCAAAAAATAAAACCTAAATTTAACCTTACATCTGCTGTAACACTTATTTTAATGAAAACCTTTAACTAGACACATAACATCTTTCTCTTTAAAAAAGCTGTAGCTGGGTATCCAGCTTCTGTCCCAGTTTTTATAATTCCTTATTAAAAAGTTTTATCATATTTAGTGTTGCAAATGCTCAGTAGGTGCTGTTTTGGCCTTCTAGTCCCTCATCTATACTATACGCAAAGTCTCAGAAATGAATGATAAGGAATAAGGATCTAGACTACCCTATATTGCCCATGAGAGACAGCCCTCAACTTTACCCCTGTTGTTGCTGCGGACCTCAAGCTGCAACTTATTTAGCAACAAATTGCGTTTAGGATCTACTGGACCCCTCAGCCCCTTTCTAGTAAAGGACTAAGTAAGGTGTCTAATTGCTGGTTTTGTAGCTTACAAAATATGATTCTCATATACTTTGAACCTGTCCGGTGGTTTGGTCTTTTTGGCAGGAAGTCATTATATTAATTTTGTATGAGATTGTTCTTTAACCTTTGAGGATGCTAATGTATTTTCGGACTATTGGCCTGTTTCTTGGAAGCTTACTGAGGGCCAGTGGTAGTGGACCTTCCATGCCCTTACTGCTGCCAAAAACCTTATATTACCACACCCGACGGATAAATATCCACCTCCGGTAATCCAGTAGATTGAGGACATTACAACATTTGAAAGTATAGCATATAGATGGCAATTGCACATGAAATTAGTTTTAGATATTTGGGAACCTTTTTTTGGATGCTTACCTGTAGACTTAAGAGCATACAAGAAGCCATGTTGGATCATGGCCCATCCAGTCCAACGCTCTGTCACACAGTGGCCAAAACCCAGATGCCATCACCTGGTGCCCCCCCCCCAGCACCAAGAATACAGAGCATCACTGCCCCAGGCACATTGTTCCATCTATAGCAGTGATGGCGAACCTTTTAGAGACCGAGTGCCCAAACTGCGACCCAAAACCCACTTATTTATCACAAAGTGCCAACACGGCAATTTAACCTGAATACTGAGGTTTTACTTTAGAAAAAAACAACTCATACATTAACTTAAGATGATCCAAACAAAGTAAGGAAAGCAATCCCAAATGCTTTCATTTACTTAAAATTATTGGGCAGAGAATTCGACACTTTAATGATAGTCTGGGCCTTGCTGGGGTGATGTCACGCGTGCCCACAGAGAGGGCTTTGAGTGCCACCTCTGGCACCCGTGCCATAGGTTCGCCACCACTGATCTATAGCTTGTCTCTAATAGCCAGTGATGGAGCTCTGCTCCATATGTTTCTCCAATCCTCTCTTGAAGCTGTCTATGCTTGTAGCCATCACCATTGTTGTATTTTTTTATTTTCTGTTTGGGAGCATAATAATAATGTTTAAAAATTGAAGTATATATACACACTATACATAACAAATACAAAAATACTTATTGATATATTTTGGCTAAATTCTTACATAATTCAAGTGAAAGACTTCTGGTTGTAATGGGACTTTCATCTCTCAAACCTCTTCAGTAGTTTTCTATATAATTTTCCAAACATGTTTTGCCCTGCCGCAGATCCACCACATGTATATGAGGTTCTTTCTGTTTGCTGTACATAAGGTGGTTGGTGCTTTTCTTCTGGGTTTAAGAATGAAACAGATTTTTTTTTTTAAAAAAATGGCATTTATGCTTGTTATGTGCTTTTTGGTTGGGCGACCCATCAGTCCAAATAGGAAGATAATGCAAATGAAGCTTAGTTTTGTATGGGTGGCATACTGTCAAACCGTACTGAAGATCATGCCTGAATATCCAGGGAAAAAGTTTTTGAACTTCAGTGAGTTGGCATTGATGCAGTTTTGGGGACTCCGAACACCTTCCTTAACTTGAATTGCAGAACACCTTTTTAACTTGAAATTTGCTGCCAAAGAGCTGAACAGAAATTCCAAAAAGTGCGATAAAGAAGAAAAGCTTGAAAAAGCTAAAATTAAGAAGGTAAGCAAGAGTTTTTGGTATTCGAATTCTGTATCCTGTTTGTCCCATTTGATAGCATGTCACCGGGATCTTCTAGCATGATGTTAGAGGTGAACATAAAAACTGGCAGAGTTAATTTATAGTTGTTTCTGGCCAGGATATTCTCCCATACATATCTGCATGTCTCCAGGGCAGCCATGTCCTGCCACCCTGAATATGGGTATTCTGTATCTGGAAGATTATCTATCATGAGCCTGGATGACCGGTGTCTCTTTCTACCACCATTCGAAGAAGGCTTCAGAAGGCTTCCGAGTCTTCTGGGATCTCTCATTTGAATGTCTTTAAAGCATAGCACTAATCTGCTTTGAGTGCAGTTCAGAGAATGGCCTAGCAAGTGAATGTCATCTCATTCACTGCAGATAAGGGCTAAACACTTGAAATTATTAGGACATAATTCTCAAAGAAGGTAGGAAAAACCATGCTCTGCTTTCTTTTTAAAAAAAGGCAATTCAGAAAGGAAATACTGAAGTTGCAAGAATACATGCCGAAAATGCAATCCGGCAGAAGAATCAAGCAATCAACTTCTTGCGCATGAGTGCTCGGGTGGATGCCGTGGCTGCGAGGGTTCAGACGGCAGTAACAATGGGCAAGGTAAGCAGCTTACTGCCGGTTTTAGTAAGGGTCACGGGTTGCCAGAATACCACTTTGCACCACGCACCGCAAGGCAGATCTGCAGATTTTCTTGCAAATCTCTGTAACCAGTTCATGTTGTGTCTGAAACCAACATCTGCAAAGAAAGATATTCCAGTTTTTCTGAAGCAGCTGAGCTCCACTGCACCCCTCTCAATGCGGCTACCATGTTTGTTGTCTTCTAGGTCACAAAGTCAATGGCTGGAGTGGTTAAATCTATGGATGCTACCTTGAAAACTATGAACTTGGAAAAGGTAAACTTGTACACTGAATTTTAAATTGGCATTTATCGGGGGGGGGGGGGTTCCCACTGCCTTGACACAATTTCCTTCTCTGCAGATTTCTGCTTTGATGGACAAATTCGAACAGCAATTTGAAACCTTAGACGTTCAGACGCAGCAGATGGAAGACACAATGAGCAGCACCACCACGCTAACCACACCGCAGGTAAGACCTACGGAGGGCCGTACACCCTGAAGAGCTCTTCTCCCTAATGGCTGTTCTCCATGTTTACCACAGTGAAGAACTTTCAGAGAAAGGTCTGGGCAGATGTAGGAGGCATCTTCCCCTCCCCCCCCCCCCCCACAGAGCCAAACATCTTCTGTCTTGGCTACCAAAGAAAGCAGGTTTTGGTCTGCGGGCAAAATGCCACTAGATCACCTTCCTGTTTATAAAGTTGCAGTTGCATCATCACACTAGTAAGCAGTGTTCCCTCTAAGCTGAGTTAGTGTGAGCTAGCTCACAGTCTTTTAGCCTCCGGCTCACACATTTTTGTCTTCGCTCAGGGAAGATGGCTCCAGAGCAAACTAATTTTCTGCAGCAGCCAAACTACCTGCTCACAACTTTAATGCCAGTAGCTCACAAAGTAGAATTTCTGTTCACAGGACTCCACAGCTTAGATGGAACATTGCTAGTAAGAGAGTCCAGCTTAGTGAGCACAGGATTCAGCTGGTCAAAAATACTTCCCCCTGTCCCAGCTGTCGAGCGTGAAAGGCCGTGCGACCTTCTCAGTTCCCCCCTTCCCCGCCTTATCAGCACTTGAGACTGACCCACCCTTGGTCGTAGGAAGTGCCGTCAGGTTGCAGCCGACTTCCGGCAACCCTGTAGGATTTTCAAGGCAAGCGATGTTCAGAGGTGGTTTGCCATGGCCGGCCTCTATATAATGACTCTGGACTTCCGTGGTGGTCTAACCGGGACCGACCCGGCTTGTGTTTGTAAAGTGCCACTGAGTCACTCCCGAGTCCCAGTGTAATGATATCAGGAGCAAGGTCCACCAGGTGCGTCTCCACTTGAGCTGCATCCAGAACAGAAAACCAGTTAGAGGTGGGAGCATTAAAAGTCAGGAGGATTTCACTGAACTATGAAAACCTTCAGTTCTATTTTGTTTAGAGGCGCGGGTAAGGAGTTCTCGGTAGACTGACTTCGACGGACACGCTGTCTTTTCTGTCTGCACCATGCGGCCAAATTGGCGTGTGTCTGTAAGGCATACACTCAGTTCACATGGAATGGTGGTATGGTCCAAAGGCCTAGCTTGAGCATTCTCAGTGGGATTTCGACAGCAGGCCCCCACGGTTTATCTCACCCCACTTCTAAAAGTCTGCCGAGTTTCGAGTGTGGCTTGGCGGGGGGCTGCTGATTGAGAAAATGCAGACCCAAAGCCACAGTAGGTGAAGGTTTCTCTGGATCCCGGCCAGGGAAAACCTCCAGAATCCTGATCCAGTGTATTTAAGGGGGAATAGTTGCATAAGCAAAGGTGGTTTATATGCTTGTAGCTCCCCCTAGTGGTAAAGTGCTTGACATTCTTAAATTTGGATGATCTTTCTCATTTGTTGTGCTGCTGTATATGTGTGTTATACACTGTTTTGATAATCTCTGTGGGGTTTTCCCGTTCCAGAGTCAAGTGGATCTGCTTCTTCAAGAAATGGCCGATGAAGCAGGGTGAGTGTAAACTTCTAGGAAGTTCAAACCTCAGGCATCGTAATGGCAAAAACACCCGATGATGTACTCAAGCGCTATCAGTCATTACTTGCGCTGCCTGCTTCAGGAAGCGTACAGGCACTTGACTGCATGGGAAGAGCTCCCTGTAAACATTACATTGTATTTTTGCAAGAACATCGCCAGTCCTCCCTCCCTCCATTTGGGAGGTGTACCAGTCATTCATCTCTGAAGCTAAGGAAGAATTTTTCATAAAATGTTTGGGAAGAAAAAAAGAAATGGAACCTACATTAAGAAGAAGGCACCGGAGTATTAAGTGGGAAGTGGGGTTGCCAGCTTCTAAACTGATCCCTCTGGCTGTCTCTTAAATATCTGTCTGATCTTCAGCAATTGTCTGGAGTTGTTGTTTAGCTCCATGCCAAGAACAACTACAGCTGTCCATTTCTGTCTATCCAACCTGTTAAAAGAGAGGGGTATGCTTTTCCTGGCCAGCTGGTAACTTTGACCATAGCCATACGGGGGAGGGTTAGGCTGGGGCGTGGAGATCACCAAGGAGCCTTAAGTGAACCTTCAGGGTCTGAAATCTGCTTCTCCCACATCCAGGCCTAGCAAGGCATTCACTGAACCATATTCGGCTTTGGAGATATTGGCAGAGCATAACCTGACATTTGTACAGGCAGCAGCTTGGAATTCCATTGTGTGGGAGTTCCATGTACATCCAAAGAAAAACTTGTAGGATTTGTCATGTCTGGCTGACAAGCATGTGGAGAAACCCCGACATATTTGCAGAGGATTTGGGGGCATGTTCCGTGGCAGGCTCAAGTAGTTAAGACGCTGAACTGCAGACCGGAAAGTCTGCAGTTCAGCAGTTCGAGACCTGAGTGCCGCATGACGGAGTGAGCTCCCGTCTCTAGTCCCAGCTCCTGCCAACCTAGCAGTCTGAAAGCAAGAAATTGCAAGTAGATAAATAGGTACCACTTCGGTGGGAAGGTAACAGCGTTCTGCGCGCCTCGGCATCCAGTCATGCTGGCTACATGACCACGGAAACGTCTTTGGACAGCGCTGGCTCTTCGGCTTGGAAACGGAGATAAGCACCGCATCCCTAGAGTCGGATTCGACTGGCTTTCGAGCAAGGGAAACCTTTACCCTCCGTGGCAGGCACATTGCTCTTGCTGACCAAGCCCTTTGAGTCTCGTGGTGATCCTTCAAGAGTTGAGTATGAGTCTTGGGTCATTGGGGTGAATACGCTGAGGATTAGGAGATGTAAGTGTGCAAGAGGAGGCAGTTCAAGGGGAAAAGCTTTGGATCAGTGGTGAAGCATCTGTGTTGCATGTAGAGGGGCCCAGGTTCAATCTCCAGCATCTCCTGTTAAAAAGACCGGGTATCGGTTGATGTGAAAGACCTCTGCCTGAGACCCTGGGGAGCCAGGGCAGTCAAAGACCAGACAGACTGTGATGGACCAATGTTCTGAGTCAGCGTAAGGCAGCTTCATGTGTTCAGTTCCAATGTGAGTTTTCTGGCAACATGGGCCTCAGAAATGGGTCCTCTTCCAGATTTTTTCAATTGCATGTGCAGTAATTTTGGTTCCTCTTCTTTTGGCCTCTAGCCTTGACTTGAATATGGAGCTACCTCAAGGACAGACAGGTTCTGTTGGCACGAGTGTGGCTTCAACAGAACAGGTGAGTCTTTCATTTTTTCCTCTCTTTTCTGCTAAAAATGGATGCAGCATCCTAGCACTGGAACTGTACCTAAATTGACTTCTGCTAGCACATCATTTGGCCCAGTGTTGTGTTGGGATGATGACACGCTTGAAGACGCTGTCTTATTGCTTCTCCCAGGGTCTTTCATTTTTATATAGTGATAATCAGGGGTCATTTCGTAGAAAAAGAGGTGCAGGAGCTCATTAGCACAACTTATTTGCATATGCCACACCCCCTGACATCACTGGAAGTGTGTCAGAAGGCGACACCCACCGCTCAGGCTCCACTGGACTGTTTTGGATTGCTAGCTATTGGGGGGGGGGGGGGAAACGTGCAGATCTGTCCTCACAGAGGACGGAGAGCTTGTACCTGAATAAAACTTGGTCTGAAAGGTGCCACTGGACTGTTTGGGGCCGGGGGGAGCTCTGCAACTTACCTGGCTGCTTCTTGCTCTGACTGAGGGCTGCTGGGAGCAGGGGGTGGGGCTTGTTGCATGTGCCCGCCCCCTGAGCTCTTTACTGCCGGAGCTCTGCTCCTGCAGGAAATGACCCCTGGTGATAATTCTTCAGCCTTCCCTTCCCTTCCCACAGAGCCCTTACGATGTAAAAATTGTCTTTGAAAGTTCCTGGCAATTAAAAATCGGATTTTAATGGCACGTTTTCCCCCTATGCAATCTGTCCATAATTCCACATTCACAACAAAGAGACGATCAAATCCCAACGGTGGGAAATAGAACAAGGAAAGAAAGGCGGGGAGGCCAGAATGAGAGGGCGAGAATGAAAAGAGATTTTTTAAATATATATACAGATTGAATTGCACAAAACTTCCTGGAATATTTTTAATACTTCTCTTCTGAGCCTTGCTTTTTTTTTTAATATGCTACTTCTCCCTTGGATGCTAGATCCATTCACTCTTCCATCCAGGTATCAGTATCTGGTTCAGTTATAGATTCAGGTGGGGTAGCCGTGCTGGTCTGAAGCAGCAGAACAAAGTTTGCGTCTGTGGCACCTTTAAGACCAGCACAGGTTTATTCTGGGTATAAGCTTCCATGGGCATGAGGGCACATAAAAGCGTCTACCCAGAATAAAGCTTTGTGGGTCTTAGAGGTGCCACTGGACTCAGACTTTGTTCTGCTTCAGTTATAGCATTCTATTTATGCATTGTCTGCATTTTATTTAGTTTTATTTATTCACTTTGACACCGGCCTTTCTCACTGAGACTCAAGGTGGGTTTCAGACTAAAAGCCGTGCACCCACACAGCAGAAGGCATCCAATAAACAGCGCCGTAGTACAGAATTAGAAGACATTGCAGGCAGCCCATGGAATGACAAAGGTGGGCGACAGAGCTGTAGAAGCAGGGCAACACCTAGAACGACGGTTGCAATAGACTGCAATCTTGCTCCATTACAAGGGGCCCTCCTAGGCTGTTCCATTCTTTTACGATCCTGTCCCTTCATAAGAATGCCCTCCAGCACACTCCTACCTGGCACATTCTGCAGAGCCAAAGCTGCTTCTCGCTTCTAAGGCCGTTGCTTATTGCTTACATGCCGACTATCAGGAGTCCATCTTAATGCCCAGTCTTTGGATGGCGATTTCTTGCACATTCCTAAGACTAAGTTAAACTATTGTCCCGAGGGCGAGCCTCCCCAGGGCTGGCCACCGCCACTCGGGACTCCGGCACCGCCGCCCACCCCAGCCCCGACAACAACAGAACCTACCGGAGGCCAGGGCTGACCTGACGCGCCATCGCCGCAGCCCCCAGGACCCACCGTGACAGCCCCAAGGCACCTGGGCAGCACCTCCCATCAGGGAACAGCCAGCTCAAGGGGGGGGTGTGCCCCGGGAGGAGGGAAGACGATGGCCCGGCGCGAGGGCCCGCCCACAGCCCAGAGCAGCCCAGAGAGAGAGATGCGGGACGAGCAGGGGCGCTAGGGCCGGAAGGAAGCCACACCCCAGCCCAGCATCCAGGTACAAGGGGGGAGGGCGGCGCCATAACTGAGGGTGGAGGGCGGACCACAGGAAGTAGCAGGTGACACGGGGCAGGAATAAAAGGGGGAACAGAAACGGAGGCCGGGGAGGAGGAAGCAACACTGACAGCACCGAAGGGAGAAGCGAGAGAGACTTGGCTGAGTGTGCTAAGGGAGTGCGGAGGGTGGTGACGTAACCTCCTCCCATCCCGACAGTCTGAGGCCTCTGTGGTTCCCCCTCCCCACTCCTCGGGTGGCAGGACGCGGTGACGTATAGGTCGGAGCAGCAGGGGGCCAGCGACAGCGACGAGGGGTCGTCTAGCTCACCTGACAACTATTTACTCACCTCTTCCTCCGCTTTAATGACTGGATGTTCCTTCTGTCTGATAACATTGTGCACCTTCGAGTGATCCCGAAATCCAGTCGTCCGGTTGAGACTTACCCTGTCTTTGAAGCATAGATCCTTGGACCTTAGGGGATCTTGCATGAACAGTGTTGGGTCATGAAGAAGCTGTGCTTGTACCTTTTAAGTTGGGGTAAAAATTCCAGAGGAGCCGCTGTCGCAGCAGAAATCAACAGGAGCTTAGTGGTTCCTTGAGAGCCAGTTTGGTGTAGTGGTTAAGTGTGCGGACTCTAATCTGGGAGAACCGGGTTTGATTCCCCACTCCTCCACTTGCACCTGCTGATGTGACCTTGGGTCAGTCACAAGCTCTGGCACAGCTGTCCTTGAAAAAGAGCAGTTTGTGTCAGAGTTCTCTCAGCCCCACCCTCCTCACAGGGTGTCTGTGGTGGGGAGGGGAAGGGAAAGGCGTTTGTAAGCCGCTCTGAGACTCCAAGTGAAGGGCGGGGTATAAATCCAATCTCTTCTTCTTCTTCTTCTTCTTCTTCCTTAAATTTGCAAGATCTTATTTCAGTTTTTTGTGGAATAGAAGAGCTAATCCTGGGTGGGTGGAATCTTTTTGATCTTTAAGGAGCTACTAGATTCCTTTAGCAGTGGATCACTGAATGTCTCCCCCCCCCCTGTCCTCTGCAGGATGAGCTCTCGCAAAGACTGGCTCGCCTTCGTGATCAAGTGTGATGGGAGGAATCCGTTCAGCAGTTCTTCATGTATGCTTCTAAAGCATTCTGTGTCCATAACTCACAAGCCCCATTAGGATCCCTGTGTCTGGCACGTCTGGATATTTATCTAGCGTACTAAAGGGTGTTCGTCTTTGTCTTGCTGCACTTTCTAAAATACATTAAGTAACTCAAAACGTGGTATTAACCCTTCAATGTGTGTGTGGTTTTCTAGTTCCGTACAGCACATGTCCCCTCCCCCAGTTGAAGGTTCTATTTTTGCAAATGTCCCTTGTAAAGACCTGACAGAAATGTCTATTTAACCAAGTGTAATGTCAGATCACCCCATTAAAAGGAAAGTTGCACCCCTAACACATGTGATTTTTTAAGTTATGTAGCAGGGTTTTAAATTATGAACAAGGTCTGTGATGGACTGAGGTGGTGTGTGCCAGTTGCATGATCGTGACACTTAATGCTCAAGAAACACAACCAGGCCAGGTGGACAGAATGGTACATGTAATGTGTACTGTGCCTCTATGTATATTCTTTAAACTGTACTGGATTATCTGCCTTTGGCACTGTAGAGCAAGCGTTCCTGTACCAAGGCCGGAAGCGATAGTAGTCTAAGCTGTCGTAACAGGAACCTTCTATTGTCACTTCAGTTCCGAAGGAATAAAATATATTTTTCAACACTTTGCTTAGGTATTCTCTCACATTTATTCATAGTTGCGCATAGACTTTGGCTCAGGTTTCTTTAAAGGACCAATTCAAAATACCAGCTTTGTCGTAGCGCAAGGACATTCCACAGCAGTAGTCTACAGACACCCTGCCCTGGGTGGCCCAGGCTAGCCTGATATTCTCAGATCTCAGAAGCTAAGCAGGGTCAGCCCTGGTGAGTATTTGAAGCAGGGTCAGCCCTGGTATGTGGATAGGAGACCAACATGGAAGTCCAGGGTCACTATGCAGAGGCAGGCAGTGGCAAACCAACGCTGAACTTCTCTTGCCTCACAAACCCTATGGGGTCGCAGCAGTTGGCTGTGACTTGAAAGCACTTTATGTATTCTCTCTCTCTCTCTCTCTCTGCATGCAAACCATCAGCTTTTGTCTCTCTCTCTTACTCTCTCTCTCTCTGCATGCAAACCATCAGCTTTTGTCTCTCTCTCTCTGCATGCAAACCATCAGCTTTTCTCTCTCTCTCTCTCTCTGCATGCAAACCATCAGCTTTTGTCACCGTTCTGCTGGGTTCTGGGGTGGGAGGTAGATTATTTAAAAGGAAACTATCTTGTACAGATAGGACACTGAAGTTTTTGCAAAAACAGTATCTTCAGTCTTGCTTGATATGCTTTTGTTGTTGTTGTCGAGTCACAGGTGGCTCACGGCAGCCTTGTGGGTCTTTCTAAGCAAGAGATATTCAGAGGTTGTTTGCCACTGCCTGCCTCTGTGTCACGGGCTTTGCTTTCCTTGGTGATCTCTCATCCAAGTACTCACCAGGGCCAATCCTGTTTAGCTTCCAATATGAGATGAGATCAGACTAGCCTGGGCTATCCCGGTCAGGGCATTATGCTTCGGAACGAGCGTTTTTTAGAAGCGTTCTGCTGTTGGATGTGATGCCTGGTTGGCTTAGGAATCAGGCGTTTCTTCTCTTTAAGTTGAACATCCGAGCGTAACTAAACGTTGCAGATGGAAGCCGGAAGCATGTTAAACTGAATTTACAATAAATAAAAATTATACCGATGGTGCTTACCATATTTAAACTTGGCTTCTGGGGTGAAGGTCAAGATATTCCTCAGGAGCGTAGTGCTTAGTGGGGGGTGCAGCCTAAGAAAGGCCCGGAAAAGATGATGCCATAGTTGTGCCAGTGGCAACCCAAAGGTGACTAGCCTTCATGATCTATGTATTTGTACCCCTCCTTTCTCCCCAGTGGGGAGCCACAGTGACACATGTTGTTCTCCGCGCCCCCATCTTATTCTCCCAGCAGCCCCGTAAGGTGGGTTTGGCTGAGTGTTTGCAGCTGCCCCGAGCTCCCCCCAACAGGGTTCCATGGCAATCTGAGGTTTTGAACCTGGTTCTCTGGAGATCCCGGTCTGACACTCTAACTGCTATATTGCACTGGCTGTCATAGACATGCCTATCACAAGGAATCATACAGAGATTTGAGGAATGTAGCAAAAGTTAGCGCAGATTATTTTCTTCTGGGTTTTGCAAGGGAGGAGGAGGAGGAAGGCCCCTTGCTGTGATCGTGTTTCTGCCCTTCAGTGCCAGGGCTAAAGGGGTCCTCAGAGGAAGGGTGGCACAGCAAATTCTTTTTTCCCTGTTAGGATAATCGACAGCCTCTCCCCCCACCCTTCCTGCTGCACTGTATTTGCTGCTGGAGGATGCAATGATGGTGACATTGCATAGAGTCCTTTAAAACAGGATTGGGCAGGTTCATGGAAGCAGCGTCTATCCTTGATGACTAGTCATGGGGACTGAGGGGAACCTCCAGTGCCAGGAGGCCACATCGGGGGAAGGCCTCGGCTTCTATGGCCTGCTGTTGGCCCTCCAGAGGAACTGGTTGGGCCACTGTGTGCGAAAGGGTGTTGGACTAGATCAGAGCTGTCAAATGCATTTGTTACGAGGAACAGATCTGACATAAATGTCACTTTGTCGGGCCGGGCCGTGTCTGCCATAAAATGTAATGCCAGGTACCAGAGATATAAACTTTATAAAGGGCACAGGCAAACCCAAATAACGATATTATTTTTCACTCAAAATACAAACAAGCGATTCCTATCAGTGGAAGGAAGTGATTTACTGGGGAACCCACAAAGACCCCAATAAATGTGTTTAATCATATACAAGACGAGTTTTTCCCCAAGGGATACCATAAAAGGGGGGGAGTACCTTATATTTGCATACATACCAGTTGCTTGTGGGCCAGGTAAGAGCCCTTGGTGGGCAGGTTCTGGCCCCTTGGGCCTTATGTTTGACACCCCTGGACTAGATGGGCCACTGGCCTGTTCCAGCAAGGGCACGTCTTTTGTTCTTATAGAAGCCTCGGCTGGTGAGCTTTTCTGGGGTATTTGTTAAAAAGCAGCTTTTAAAATAGTCCGAATGAGTTGTTGTTGGTGGGGGGTCTGGTTAATGTGCCTGCTATTTTATACTGCCATTTTAACAGAAGGCCTTTTTCTCCTAGTTATATTTTTTTCTGAGGCAAAGGGGCTGCTGTTCTTCTGTTAACTTGCTCTGAGCGTTTGCGTTTGAGCTGGCTTCGGCTGATCCATTTGAACAACAGATCCTACCAAGGCCAGGCTTCTCAAGAAAGCGGGCTGACCGTGAAATTGTGTGGCTGCCCTGGACAGGACGGGGAACCGGGCCTGCACTTTGTGGTGAAGGGACAGGCTAAACCAACAAACGTCCCTTTCTTCCCATCCACTGCTTTGTGTTTGTGACTGGGATGGTCTTGCTGATGGATTTCAGGACAGTCGTGACAATGGGGGTCGTTTGGCGAAGGGACAGGCTAAACCAACAAACGTCCCTTTCTTCCCATCCACTGCTTTGTGTTGTCTGTGACTGGGATGGTCTCGCTGATGGATTTCAGGACAGTCGTGACAGTGGGGTTCGTCGTTCAGACCGTGTGTTTACTTCTCAAACCAGCAGAGGGGAGCAGAAGACCTTGCTTCTTCCAGAGGGTCCCTCTATAACATTTGCTTTGCCAACAGAGGCAGGATGCTTTAGAGACCATTCCTGGTCAGCTCGGCTATGAGTTCCTGCCACTCTTAAAAACCTGAATGAGCTGATCCTATCAAGTTTAGATTCTTGCTTGGAGGTGTTTTCTCTCACTAAGTCACTGTGATTGTCAATAGAATGTAAGAGTCGCTTTGCTGCATCAGACCACTGTTCAATGTCCTTGCTGCTACGGTGGAGCTGAACAGCCAAGTGTCCCTGCTAAAGTCGTAAGCATGTCATTAAGGACATTTCCCTTTGTTCCAACAATCCTTAATATTTAGAGGTAGGCTGCTTCTGGACTTGGAGGTTCCAGTTATCTGTTGTGACAGATAGATCTAATCCTTTTTAAAAAAAAAAGTCAACTGATATACTGAATATCACCATATTTTTCGGGAACGAATATTCTCCGAAACTTCAGTAGGGTTCAAGGGGCAAATCTATCACCATGGTATTTGATTAACAAAGCAGAAAATGTTCCTTTATTAATTACAGGGCTGTGCGTATGAGGTGGGATTGAGTGTACGCAGGAGCCCATTTTGTAAATTGGTTCCAAGCCCAAAGAAATTGGTGGGCCTTGTCCTTGGCTTCAATAGCTGGGGATCGACTATTGGACAAAAATGTAATAAAAACTTATTCAGTTTCGTGCCAGCCATAAAAGTCTTAACAGTGCTTTTAGAAGGCAGACCTCGAGTAAAATATTTCCACCATTATAAGTTGACTTCCCTTTGTTACTTAATGTTATTTATTGTCTGCAGTTCTCTCTGGGACTTGAGGTGGATGACACCTTTTAGAAGGCAGACCTCGAGTAAAATAGTTCCACCATTATAAGTTGACTTCTCTTCGTTACTTAATGTTATTTATAGTCTGCAGTTCTCTCTGGGACTTGAGGCGGATGACACAGAATTAAGCCCTTTAAACTCCCAGGAAGGTTTGTTAGCAGTCCAGCAGGCTCTGGGAGTGACCTTTGGCTCTTCTTTATTGAGAAAGTCATGCTGAATCAGTTCTGATGTACAGGCAGAGAAGGGTTCTCCAGACGGCGCATGGCTAGCTGCGAATGACTCCGGAGGTGGGGGGGGAATGTATAAGGAAGTTGTGCTTCCTTGCAGTAAAAATCCATAGAAGTTTTGTGTAAGCCCATGCCTGGTGAGAAACTACAGACTGCAGAATGGAAAGAGGCCAAAAGTCAGAAGAATTAGAGGTTGAAAGGAGAAGTGGAAGGACATTGTTGCAGAGTGCTGGGAGACCTTGGAGGTCTGCCAACAGTCCTTGGCCATCGGCCTTGAGCTTTGAAGTTATCGAGGCGTGGATGGCTGTCACCAGGTCTGAAAGGGAAGGGTCATGGCCCTTTCATCAGATGGAGCAGATAAATACGTTCCTGACCCCATGCTGTCCCTCTCGAACCCCTGAACATTCGGCAACAGAAACACGGTAAATAAATGAAGAAGTATGACGGAGTGAGCTCCCGTCTCTAGTTCCAGCTCCTGCCAACCTAGCAGCTCGAAAGCAAGACATTGCAAGTAGATGAATAGGGACCACTTCGGTGGGAAGGGAACAGCGTTCCGTGCGCCTTGGTGTTTAGTCATGCCGGCCACATGACCACGGAAACGTCTTCGGACAGCGCTGGCTCTTCGGCTTGGAAACGGAGATGAGTCCTAGAGTCGGACTCGACTGGCTTTCGAGCAAGGGAGACCTTTACCTTTTTACCTCCCTGTCCCACCCCGAGAATCAACACCCAGCATTCCCTGAAAGGCTGTGAAATCTGCGAGACCACCTCCCCCCCTGTGCTCTGCCGTGACAGCTTTGCACATCTGAGCAGGGCGTGCTGCGGGTGCCAACCTGCAAACAGGCGAAACCAGCGCCTTGGTGTTTAGTCATGCCGGCCACATCTGAGCCGGGCGTGCTGCGGGTGCCAACCTCCAAACAGGCAAAACCAGCAACTGCCTGTGCCCTCTGTTGCAGTCCCCACCTTGTGGCATGGCCCCGCCTGAGAAGACCAGGGAAGCTCTCCCCCTCTCCTGCCTTTCCACAAATGAGGCAAAACTGAATTATTCAAGAGGGCTTAAGAACATAAGAACATAAGAGATGCCAGTGTTGGATCAGGCCAAAGGCCCATCCAGTCCAACACTCTGTATCACACACTGGCCAGAAATACCAGTGCCATCAGGAGGTCCACCAGTGGGGCCAGGACATTAGAAGCCCTCCCACTGTTGACCCCCCCAAGCACCAAGATGACAGAGCATCACTCGCCCCAGAGTCCCTATCTATACCTTGTGGCTAATAGCCACTGATGGACCTCTGCTTATCTATGTAGGCAACAGGGTAGTGCTGTACCAAATTATTTTCAAAGTTACTTGGACACATTATTAGGGGCTGTGGTCTACACGCTGTTAAATTGGATTCTGCTATGTAATCTTGCATCGCTCCACGTGTCATGTTAACACTGATGCTTTGCTTTAGTTTTGTTTTTTTTAGTCTTCCGGTTGGTTGTACAACCCAGATCCTGTTGTATTGTTTGCGCAGTGCTCCGTCTTGTTGATTGCGTTGACTCTGTGTAATCCGCCTTGAGTCCAAGTGGGAAAGGTGGACTAGGGCATTTTTGGTTTGCTTTGTTCTAATGAGTGTAAAGAACCTGATCTACATACTTCTCCTCCTTCTTTCACACAGGTTTTGTCAATAGTTCCCCGATGATGGCAAGAGCTCTCTGGATCACACCCTTCCCTTTGGACTGGTTTCAGGGCCAACATCTTTCTTAGTGTTTCCGGTAGCCCACTTCATGATCAGAGGGTCATCGTACACATGCCCATCCATTCTATGTCAATAGTGTCTTGCTGAGGTCACCATCGCTAGAGTCAGGACTCAAGGATGTACAGATAGCTCCTACTGCCGCATGGCTGGATGCCGTAAACTGTCGACGGAGTCCTTCTGCTCTCTGCCAGGGACAAACAGGTGAGTCCTTATGCGGAAGGACGAAATGGACACCTTTTGACATTTAGAATAGGGCAACGTTCAGAAACCAGTTGGAGGAACCTTTCAATCTATCAGGGAATTCTTCTGCTGACTGAAAATCTTGAGTCTTCAACAAGGGGGCTTCAAAGGCAGAGTCAAGTGAGAAGTTGCTGAAGTGGAATTCATCAATAGGTTTAAGTGTACCAACAAAGGATTGGTCTGAGCTGACATGATCTTCAGTTGCTGCAGGTTTCAGTTAACCGGTTATCACCAGTTAGAGCCAGGGTGCATGGTCTCTGTGTGTTGGGTTTGTGAGATTGAGAAAAATTGTATTTAGCAGAGATAATAGAGCTTAGCAGTGCCAGAGTAAAATAATTCAGATCAGAGTCCATGTGTGATTAAAATAGAAAGTTTTTACTAAATTCTAGCATAGGGAAGGGTAACTGGGATGAAAATAACAACGGAGCTAAACGGCTACATCCTTACACAACAAAAGACAAGACTAAGAAGAGCGTTATGGCTTCTCTCTCTTCTTCTTCTTGAGAACAGCAAACAAAGACGGTAAGAGGAGCCATAAAATGCTAAAACACTTTGACACTTTAGTTCCAATCAAAACTCCTAGATCAGGGAGAAAATTCCCGGGCTTGTACTCCTAAAACAGCATTGGTTACATGAAACACATGTGACTTCCTGTGAGCAACACAAACAAACATTTAACCCCAGATACACTGAGTGTTTTCAACGTGTAATACCCAACACTGTGCTTACCTGGTATATGCTTGAGTTTTGCATAAAAATATCTAAATCTTTTCACCTTTTCTTTGCCGCTTGCCATCTGCTGTATAAATATTGTGCTTATAGAGAATTTACTTCATGCATCTGAAGGAGTAAGCTCTGGTCTGTGTAACTGTATGTTTCAATAAATCTGTCAGTCTTCAAGGTGCTTCAAGACTCCTTTTTGTTTATTATGGGGAACAATCACATTGATTTTATAGAATAGTGGACATTGGTGTTACGACTAAACAAGTGGCGGGTGGACTCGCAGAAGCATGGAAATCTTTATTTCTTCCCCCTGCTGGTTTCTCTCCCACAGCCTGCATTTCTGTTTTCCCTGCTTTGTTCCTTCCCATCCAACTATGATTTCCATTTTCTTGAGAGCCAGTTTGGTGTAGTGGTTAAGAGCAGTGGACTCTAATCTGGAGAACCAGGTTCGATTCCATGCCTTTCCACATGCAGCCAGCTGGCCTACCATGGGTCAGTCACAGTTCTCTCGGAGCTGTTCTCTCAAGGGCAGTTTCTCTCAGAGCTCTCTCAGCCCCACCTACCTCAGAGGGTGTCTGTTGTGGGGAGAGGAAGGGAAGGAGATTGTAAGCTGTTCTGAGACTCCTTCAGGTAGTGAAGGGCGGGGTATAAATCCAATCTCTCCTCCTCCTCCTCCTTCTCCACTTTCACATAAGAACATAAGAGACGCCAATGTTGGATCAGGCCAATGGCCCATCCGGTACAACACTCTGTCACACAGGGACAGTGGCCAGAAATACCAGTGCCATCAGGAGGTCCACCAGTGGGGCCAGGACATTAGAAGCCCTCCCACTGTTGACCCCCCGCCAAGCACCAAGAAGACAGAGCATCACTTGCCCCAGAGTCCCTATCTATACCTTGTGGCTAATAGCCACCGATGGACCTCTGTTCCATATGCTTATCTAATTCCCTTTTGAAGCCGTAGATGCTTGTAGCCGCCACCACTTCCTGTGGCAGTGAATTCCATGTGTTAATCACTCTTTGGGTGAAGAAGTTGCATCCCCTTTGGACTTCCTTCCCTTCATTCTCTCGGCCCCTTACGGCCTCCCCCTTTCTCAGCCCCTAATACTAGCCCTCCCCCTTTCCAGCCCTCTCACTGCTGGCCAACACGTTGTTTCCCTCTTGCTGTACCCCCTTACCCCATCTTTTCTCCCCCCCATGGCATGTTCTTTTCTCTTCCTCCTCCATTCCTCCCTTTGCATGCTTTCCACCCTGCCTCCCCAACTTTCCCATTCATGCTCAGTTTTTGCTCTTTGTGTGTGTGGGGTGTGTGTGTGTGTGTGTGTGTTTGTCTGGGAAACTGTACTGGGGTTGCTAGGCCATTCCATAAAGCTGGTCCTGAGCATTGTAGTCTTGCAAGAACTCAGCTGGCAGGGTTTTATTTAGTTTTGGTATTTTTTTTTAAAAAGTTAAATCTCTTGTATGGCTGCCACTAGATGTGAGGGGCTTAATAATGGTGGGGTGTGTGGAAGAAATCCCTACCTGGGGGTTGGGGGGGGGCTTCACGTCAGACCTGGTTAGAAATGGGAGTTTGTATTTGAATCCAAAAGTGAAAAGGAGACAGGGACCGATGTGAGTTGGTTGAAGCACATTGGAATGCCAGAACTCTCTCTGAGAATCTGAGGTGGGTTTAGGTTTGCCAGGGAGAAGAAGAAGAGATTGGATTTATACCCCGCCCTTCACTTGGAGTCTCAGAGCGGCTTACAAACTCCTTTCCCTTCCCCTCCCCACAACAGACACCCTGTGAGGTGGGTAAGGCTGAGAGAACTCTGACACAAACTGCTCTTTTTCAAGGACAGCTGTGTCAGAGCTTGTGACTCACCCAAGGTCACATCAGCAGGTGCAAGTGGAGGAGTGGGGAATCCAACCCGGTTCTCCCAGATTAGAGTCCGCACACTTAACCACTACACCAAACTGGAGGGGGCGTGGCTCAGTGGCAGAGCATCTGCTTGGCATGCAGAAGGTTCCAGGTTCAATCCCTGGAATCTCCAGTTAAAAAGGACCAGGCAGTCGGCGATGGGAAAGACCTCTGCCTGAGACCCTGGAGAGCTACTGCCAGACCAAGTAGTCAATACTGACTTTGAAGGACCAATGGCAGTATAAGGCAGCCTCGTGTATTCATGTGACTCCAGGTTGGGAAATTCCTGGGGACTGGGGAATGGAACCTGAGGATGGTGGGATTTGGAGAGTGGAGGGACCTCAGTGGGGTATAATGCCATAGAGTCCCCCTTTCCAGAGCAGCCATTTTCTCTAGAGGAACGGACTTCTGTCGTTTGGAGAGCAGTCATCATTCTGGGACAGCTCCAGGCCCCACCTGGAGGTTGGGAACCCTAAGTGGGTCGGCAGACCTCCTGTCTTTTAGGAATAAAGGAAATATTAGTGCTGTCCCTACACAGTCTTCCACTTCAAGAAGTGGGGGCACATAAAAACATGAGCGCCATTTCCCTTTACCCTGCAATGGCTTTGTATGTTTGCACTGCGGGTACAGATAATTTGTTTTCCACCCGTACTTCATCTACTTCCCATAATAGGTGCCCTTCCTTAAGTTTCATTCTTTGTTACTATAAAGTCCCAGCTATGTGGCCTGGAGCTCCTAGCTAGGGCAGACCTTTCCACTGGGAGTGTTGTAAATTAGTTCCAGTCTAGAAGAGAACGCTGTAACGAATGGCTGTGACCTGGAAGTTGACAAAGGAAACCTCAACCCAGCGAAGTCAATCTTTGCCCCCAATAACTTGACAAGCCTAATCTTTTAAGGTTCTAAATAGATGAGGGCTCTGATTCTCTTCCCAGCTTATGGGCTTTGCCTTTATGCTGAAAGTGATAATGTTTTTCAAGACTTCTCTTGATTTGTCCAGCAGGTGCTCCACCGGAACGTGCGGGGAAGTAGGGTGGAACACACTCGATAACAAAGCAAATCTAAGCCAGGCAGCCGTAGATCAGCCTCTGCTTATCCGGTTACATCCTCCCCGGATCTTTTTGGGTTATCACTTGTAAATCGCGTCAAGTTAAATGTAGCCTTGGGAATTTGCAAGAGATGGGATGCTTGCTCACAGATGTATTGACGACACACCCAGTAAGATATCTTCAATGGCAGGGCTGCCGAGAGTCAAGTGATTAGCTTGGGTGTATTCAGGGCTTTTTTTTGTGTAGAAAAAGCCCAGCAGGAACTCATTAGCATAATAGGCCACACCCAACAGCAGAAAGTCATTAGCATATTAGGCCACACCCCTGACAGCAGACCTCATTAGCTTATTAGGCCACACCCCCATGCCTTCCCTTGGCTTGCCCAGGCAAGCTCCCCCTTGAAGGGAAGGCAAGGCAAGGCAGTTTAAACTGGCTTGCCTGGGAGCCCTGCGGCTGTAGGGAGCCCGGGCAAGCTGGCCCTTGGAGGGAGGCAGTTAAACTGCCTTCCCTTGGTTTGCCCACGGGCCACCCGGGCAAGCCGACCTTTGGACAGGCCAGGGAAGGCACGGGGAGACATTTAAATGCCTCCCTGATCCTTCCAGGCCCCCCGGCCTGCCCACCTTGCAGTCGCCGGGGTGTGTGTGTCACTCTTCAGGCCTTTCCTCTGTAGCCACGCATGCAAAGGTTTTGGCTGTAGTGGGCGTGGCCAACTCTGAAGCCAGCCGGAACTCTGTACCTGTGTCTTCCTGCCCCCAAATAGCCCTGCTTCTGTCCTTTAAAAGCAGACATGTGGACAGGAGTGGGGTTAGGATCCAGGTTGGTGCTGAGGCCAGGGTTACCAGCACCAGCTTGGGGAATACCTGGAGATCTTGGGGGTGGAGCCTGAGGAGGGCGGAGTTTGGGGAGTCCACCTTCCGAAGTGGCCATTGTCTCCAGGGGAACTGATCTCTGTTGCCTGGCAAGCAGTTGTAATCCCAGGAGATCTCCAGCCACCGCCTGGAGGTTGGAAACCAAAAAGAGAGATCATGGGAAGGGTGGTGGAAACAAGCAGAATGACCATGAAGTATTATGCCAAGGGAAAATATCATGCTGATGGCGTCATTGTGAATGATAGCTGAGAGACTGACCTGCTCCAAGTAAACTGGATATTGGGTAAGAACTAAATAGTTTTTGGATATTTTTCTTTGGCGTAATACTTGACGGTTGTTCTGCTTATTTCCACCACCTGGTGGTTAGCAGCCCTAGTTGGGACCAATGTTCCATTTAAGCTGTGGAGTCTTGTGAGCAAAAATTCCATTTTTGTGAGCTACTGGCATTAAAGTTATGAGCGAGCGACTTGGCTGCTGCATAAATTAGTTTGCCCTGGAGCCCCATCCTTCCTGAGCTAAGACAGAAATGTGTGAGCCGGAGGCTAAAAAACTGAGCCGGCTCACACTAACTCAGCTTAGAGGGAACACTGGTTGGGACCCAAACCCCCCATTTACCTACCTTTTTAAAAAAATCTAAACCCTGCTATGTAGAAGAAGAAGAGGAGGAGATTGGATTTATACCCCGCCCTTCACTACTCAAAGGTGTCTCAGAGCGGCTTACAAACTCCTTTTCCTTCCCCTCCCCACAACAGACACCCTGTGAGGTAGGTGGGGCTGAGAGAGCTCTGACAGAAGTGGCTCTT